TGAGCACAAAAGCTCAGGAACAATGTTCAGGCCTTGAGTTCAAGCCCCAAGACTGGAATGTTTACACACACACACACACGCACGCACGCACGCACGCGCACGCACATGCATTATAAATTTATCTCAGAATAGCTTACTCATTTTTAATGGTTATTTCTAAATATGTCATATATTTTTTAAAATGAATGATATTCAAAAAATATCTCTTCCTTGATTTTATTCTTTCACTATGTAAAATATCATTTTATATGTTAATTGTATCTCCAGAAAACTAAAGATGATTTTAATAATTCAATGGAAAATTCTTTCATATTTTCTATATACAGTCTAGAAATAACAGATTTTCCTTATTCCTTTTCTTTCCACTGCATTGGCCTTTAGTGACCCAGAAAGATATAACCTGCAGTATTTTATCACACAGTATTCATTTGTTGTGAGAGCTTGAGATGTACTTATGAATCATATATACACCTGGAGATATACAAGTCAATGGTTTTTAGTATATTCATAGTTGGAAACAATCACTGTAAAAGGCAACTTAAAAGCTGCTTTTGCTAAGTCTGAATTAACTGAAAACTATATACTCATGCCTTCTCTTCTCCCTCTGAATCTGTTCTCTTTGATCTGAACCATTCTTTGCCCCAGGTAAACTTTAACTACCTTGGGCTTTAGGAAGAACAGGATTCATATATAATCATGAAAGAAGGCAAACTGTCTCTTAAACAAACAATGCCATATTCTTATCATCTTATAAAAAACAGCCAAAGCTTAGGAGACCACCTACCAGAAACTTGTTCCTGTTCAATTCCAGTGGTAAAGTGATAACATCTCTGGAATTCTTCCAGAGTCAAACATTGAAATATTGATTAACCAGGACATGCTCTGGTCAGACCTTTTTAACTATGAATTATTCACTTCTTTTATTTCTTTCAATTATTCCCTTCTTTCAATTCTTCCTTTACTTGAAATTTAAGATTTTCTTCCAATACTCTAAGACAGTGTTGGCGTCACTGAGTTGCTATCTTTCTGATACAGATGTATCATTACTTAAAATATTTTCTTTTCTCTGCTGGGGATCAGTTCCTGAATTGCACTCACTAGGCAAACACTATGCAATATATTCCCAGCCTCTGCCCCCTATCTTTAAAACATTCTGATCACCCAAAAAAGAAACCATATTATTCAGTAACAGTTCTTCCCATCCTTCTACCCCTTCACCTCAGGCAAGTGCCGATGTACTGGGGCAATATAAAGGGACAGAGACCAGCGGAACAGATAGAGTGCCCACAAATAAAATCCACGCATTGATAGACAATTCATTTTTGACAAAGGTACCAAAACATACCCCAAGGCAAAAGGCCACATATACTCTAGATCTGGGCCCAGTGATCTTCTCTCCTTATTAATGATTTTAAGATGATTTGTATGTGATATAGTTTTTGGGTTACTTCTATGAAAAGGGGAAATCATCTAATTTCCCACTACTGGATATACAAAACTAGAAGTTTTAACTATTTACCTTAAATTTTATGTAATTTGTGAGGACTCTCCTCTAAAAAAACCCTACCCCCGGGGGTTTATATCTAACAAAAGAAAAACTCAATCTGGGACACAAGGTAAAAATACTGTCCTCAACTGGTACCTACAATAAATTCCAAGGTCCTTGCAGATAGAAAGCTGTGGTACTGGTGCTACTTGCTCTGGTCCTTTTGGTAACCTACATAATACTCCTCTAGAGCACTGTCTTAGCCAAGTATGAGGATATCATTATGCCTGCAATAATAAAATGAGTAGGAGAAAATGTAATACCAGCGTTTTCCATGTACTTGGTGTGGCTAAAGTAGTTCTGCAAAAGGGCTCATGTAACCATCCATTAAACCACAAGTTTCCAGAGAAGTGGCCTCAAAAATTGCAAAATTTGGCTTTCTCCAACTTGTTAGTCTCACAAGGTAATTATTGTTATTTCCCTATGCTATTGCTTTAAGAGTGCTTCTGGTGTTTATTGTTTATATTCTTGTTATAAAAAGCTAAAACATTATAAAGAAAATAAAACAAAACACAAACTACATTCCTTCTAATTCCATCATACAGGGATAACTACTATTAGTAGTTTTTGGTAATTTCTTCCAGTTTGCTCACCAGTAAGATGCTAAATCACATATCAAAAGAAGGCATGATCATAATGTATGTACAGGTTGGAATATCTTTTTTCCTCTGGGTATACTAGGGTCAATTTTGCATAGTAGATTAAATTCTTTTTTTTTCTTTGTTAAGTCCATGTTGTAGCACTTCAAAGTACTTCCATGGATGGACATTTTTGCACAGAAAGATGATTTTCTGTAATAGATATCTAGGCTGGGTGCCAGTGGCTCATGCCTGTAATCCTAGTTACACAGGAGGCTGAGATCTAAGGACTGTGGTTCAAAGCCAGCCCAGGCAGGAAAGTCCATGAGACTCCTATCTCTAATTCACCACCAGAAAACCAGAAGTGGCGCTGTGGCTCAAGTGATAGAGCACTTGCTTAGTGCTGAAGAGCGCAGGGACAGAGCCCAGGCCCAGAGTTCAAACCCCAGGACCGACAAAAATAAATTTAAAAATATATAATAGATATCTAGAGGTGAAGGGTGGGGATAGACAGTATAGCTATTGTTAGACTGTACACAAAAACATGGTAGCTTCTGTTTGCTCCCCAGACTGGCCAATAGGGCATGTCATTAACATCCGTCCCCACTCCCCCAACAGAATACATGTTTCAAATCAGGCTGTGATTTTTGATTGGCAGTGGTCTTCAAGCCTATGTTGGAGCTATTTGGACAATCTAATTCTAAGCCCAAACTTGTGTAATCAATACTTGACTCTGGCAATAATAATGCAACCTGTTATAACGTATATTTCTTGACTTTTACTGAGTCTAAGAAACTACTGTCTTCTCTTTACTCACCACTGACACCTCCTCTTCTGTGAACTGCTTTGGCCCATTTGTGGACTGGGTTGCTCATTGTTTTTCTGTTGTCTGGTAATGCTCTTTTATTGAGAACAATTCAATCCCTTTCAGAATTTTTAAAGCATTTATTTACCATCTTGTTTGCAGAGCTGCTGTTCAGCAGTCTGAAGTCAGTGTAATCCATGAATTGATGACTTATTTTCATCAATGCAAGTATCTAGGATGATTTTTTGGTCTTTATCCCCAGGTCTCCTACATTTCAAAATTAGGTGCCTTGATGTCAGTCAGGTCTCATCTGTTATGCTCAACAGCCTCTTTCCTCCAGCTTACCTTCTTCTTCAGTCCTGTGACATTCCTCTGAATTTTTTTCTTTATTGACTTGGACAGACAATTTTCTCCGTTTTCTCTCCCTGGAACTCCTGACAAGATACTGAACTTCTCTTTGTTCTCTCATTGTACCTGCTCTGTTTTCATCTACTTTTCTTTTCATTTGGTCCTATTTTTTAGAAGGCTGTCTTACTTTTATTTCCCAATATAACTACTGAGTTTCTCATGTGTGTTAGCAAAATTTTAATCTCCAAAGTTGTCCCTGGACACACACACACACACACACACACACACACACACACACACGGGTATGTGTGTGTGTCTTAATCTCTAATGTTAGACTCTTCTTAAATGTTTAGTAACCCTGAACTACCTGCTTTTAAGAATTTAAGATTAAATAACCGAAAGCTTTGAAAATGGAGATGAAACTTATGTGATTTGTGCTTGAAGTTGGGTTGCATTTACAGCTAGGTTTTGAACATGGTAGCTTTCTGTTCTGCTAGCCACTCATGTCACTACCCATCCTCTTGAATGAAGTGGATGCGCTTGTGGATGTCAGTGATGCATATTCTGCGAGCAAATAATGGATACGTCAGTTAGACTGGGTCCTCTTCTTAATCCTCAGAAGTAGTTTTCCATCCAACCTCACAGATCTGGAATTCCCAAGCCTAGAAGACCCACGGTTGTCATTTCCCACATAGTTAGGCCATGGAATATTCCTTCATATGGCACTGCCTTCAGTCTAAGGAATTTCTTAAAATTACATGTTCTAAGAGTACTACTTATTACTTTGCAGGACAGTTCTATATTTTGAAAAGTTTCCATTACTTTTAGGAATTTCGGTGGTCTATCATGTAAAACCATCATCTTAAGTTGGTCTATCCAGGTCATTTTAAGACTTGGTGAAAACAAGTATTTAGCTCTTCTTTGACAAGTAATCTGGACCCTGGAAGTAGAATTGAGTTTTAAAACAGTTCTTAGTCATAAATCTAATGATAGGCACCAAGTTAGTTGCTTTCCTTATATTATTCTTTCATATCTCCCAAAACTTGAAAGGTCAATACTGTCTAGACAGAAGAATAACTGTCAGTGAGAAGCACTGGGCAACTGAATCAAGGGCGCCCACAGGCAGCAGAGCTGGGTTTGGAATCCTGCCCTATCTCTCATTTGCCCATGAACAGATGAAGAAGCTGGAGGCGGAAGTAGGCAACTAAGTTTCTAGATTAACAAGGCAATTAAGAGCTGTACATGTCTCTTGTGAGATTTCTTTTTATGACTTAGTGATTAAAAGTTACAAACTTTCCAAAAGCGGTAATATGTAACCAGTTTTTGTTTACAGCATTGTGTGTGAAGGTGGTAGGCAGATGGACAAGAGAGGAAGAGGAAATTTAAGTAATGATAATCTAGTTTAGAAGAGATTATCGATAGATTACAGTCTCTTGTCCAACAAGAACATCATCCCTGAAGTTTGATAAAGCTAAAGAGAAAAACTGGCTGGTGTGAACTTGAGATTGTTCATGCAAACAGCCTGGAAAACCACAGATTTCTTAAGCTCATTTCTTTGACTCTAGCTCTGCCTTTTCAGCCTAAAAGGAAATGCTCCCTCCCCCAGCTCTCGCTGATGTTTTCCACTTTTCCTGTGATTAAAAAAAAAAAAATTCCCTTGGTAACCATTTTCCCTAGTTATTTTCTTGGCTAATTTTCTTCATGAAGAACCGAAAGGCACTTATCCCCAAGGGAAAGCAGTTATTTTAGATGTTACTAAGAAGTCAGCTAACATTTTTCAACATTTTCTTCTGTTCTTTGTTTTTAAAGAAAGCTCTGATTTTCTTTCATTTTCAACTGGAGACTTAAATGACACCAAGCAAAGACTACTTAGTTTAGCTTTCCAGGTAAAAAAGTTTTAAATTTTCAGTTTCTACTAAAGCATGTGGAATGGTTTTAATATATGGGTATTTTATGTGCAACTGTGTTTAATCCTTGAGAAAATAAGCTCTTTGCTGATAATTTTTTTAAAGTTCAAAGTGTTGTTATTCTGTTTACTTGTTTTTATTTTTCAGGATGATTATCTCCCAAGTACTTTAAACTTTTCAGAACTAGGATTATCTTAATGTTTAGACAGAATTATATGATAAGTAGAAGTAAAAAGTGGCTTGGAATGTTCATTTTTTCAAGTTTTAAGTCCTAAAACATAAATATTAATTAAAAGCATGTTTCATTTTAAGCTTGTTGGATGGATTGAAGGATAAGAGACAGATCATGACTTCATGTAAGTTTAAGATTCTAGATGTTTTAAAGCTTATTTAGGACAATTGGTGAAAAAGCTTTAAGTGAGAAATAGTAAGTTCATGAGTTTATAGATGATTATTGAATGTTGACATGAATAAAAAAGTACCAAAAAGACAAAAACTACTTGATAAATATGGCATTGTGATAAGTGTCATAAAATTTTTCATCTATAAACATATCCATGCAGTTATAAAATTATTAATTAAATATTAAGTATCAAGTGAAAAATCTGTAAGTCACTAAAAAAGACAATTGTAAACTTGGTATTAAAGGGCTATTTCATAAAATGCACTTAAAGGTATTAATGAGCCTGGATGCTGGTTTTGTCAAGATTAGGACAGCTCTGCCAACCTCTGCACTTATCTGTTTAGGTTTCTGGATAAACTTGAGTCAGTCTGGGAAAGGAGACAGACTGAAAGAGGGCCGAGGGTGAGGATCTTAGGCAGGCACTCTTTCTCCTAAGCATTCACATAGGCAAGGCTCAGGGACAAAGAGGATTCCTAAGACTCATGGGAGCTTATCTCCAAAGCCCTGATATCCAGGACCTGACTTTTAACATGTGTTACCCATCATAGCATGGTGGTTGTGGTGATTGAGGGGTCTACACAGATGAATGAGTGTTCATCAGAGCCCATTGGACCTATTCTTAGAAAATTCTAGCTCTGGGGCTGGGAAGGTGGCTCAGTGATAGAGTGCTTGCCTTGCATGCTCGAGGCCCTGGGTTCAATTCCTCAGCACCACATAAGCAAAAAGAAAAAAAGCCGGAAGTGGCGCTGTGGCTCAAGTGGTAGAGCGCTAGCCTTGAGCTGAAGAGCTGAGGGACAGTGCCCAGACCCAGAGTTCAAGTCCCACGACCGGACCCCCCCCCCCAAAAAAAGAAAATTCTAGCTCTTCCTGCCCCATAGCTCTACTTCTCATATTTCCTTCCCTTGAGGTTACTGCTCGTTCTTTCCAACAAGCTACCTTTCTCTGAATCAACCTTTTCAATTTCAGGTGCCAAAAAGCTAATGGATTTGCTCCATTATGTGTTGCATGCTCACTTTTTTTCTGAAACTAAAGTAGATCTTGGAGTTGTTAAAATATAGTCTAATTGCAGTGACTAAGAGTAATAATACTGAAATGAGTAAAGTGTTTAGACCTAGAGAAATGCTACTGAAATGGCTGGAGTAATAATATAAATGCATCCTGAGCAAAAGTTTGGTGCTGAAGTTGATTGCTAGCTGTCAAACTAAGGTGATGTGGGGACATGTCCACACAGATAAAACCAGGTAGAGCCTGACTTAGAAGAGGGTGATTTGACTGGATAAAAAAGGACTACTAAAGCACTAGCCTTGAGCTGAAGAGAAGAGGGACAGCGCCCAGGCCCAGAGTTCAAGCCCCGTGACTGGCCAAAAAAAAAAAGGACAACTGAGATTCAAGAGAACAAAGTGAACATCATGATGTCTTCTTGTCCTCCTCTTTCCAAATACTGATAAACAATAGAAGATTATTTTATAAATTAATATGTAACTATGTACCTGTCCTGGGAAATATGGTGAGCTTTTTGGTGAGATAGTAACTGAGATGGGAATGTGTTAAAGGGGGAAAACACTGAATAAGCATGAGAGGAAACAGAGTAAGGACAGCTTGTGTGAGAAAGAAGTTTCTAAGTTAAAAATCTCAAGAAGAACCCCACGACCGACAAAAAAAAAAAAAAAAATTAAAAAAAAAATAAAACAAAAAAAAATCTCAAGAAGGAGCCAGGTGCCAGTGGCTCACTCCTGTAATCCTAGCTACTCAGGAGGCTGAGATCTGAGGATTGCAGCTCAAAGCCATCCCAGGCAGGAATATCCATGAGACTCTTATCTCCAATTAACCATCTGAAAACCGGAAGTGGTGCTGTGGCTCAAGTGGTAAGTAGAGTGCTTGCCTTGAGCTGAAGAGCTCAGAGACAGCACCCAGGCCCAAAGTTCAAGGCCCACAACTGACAAAAAAATGTCAGGGATGGGGGGCAGGAAATCAAACAACCACCTACTATAGTAGTAAACACATGATAGTAAAATGTGTTCATCTCTCTTGGCTCTCCTTTTGACAGTTCTGGGCTTCGAATTCAGGGCCTGTGCGTGCTAGTCAAACACTCTACTGAGCTACATCCCTAGACCTTTTTGCTTGCATTATTTTTCAGATAGATCTTACAGTTTCTATCTAGGTCAGTGTAATACTGCAAATCCTCTTACATATATATTCTTCCTCTGTAGCTGGGATTACAGGTATGAACCATCAGGCCTAGCTTGTTCTTTGAGATAAGAAATAACTTTTTCTTTTTTTTTTTTTTTTGCCGGTTGTGGGGGCCTGAACTCTGGGCCTGGGCACTCTCCCTCAGCTCTTCAGCTCAAGGCTAGCGCTCTACCACTTGAGCCATAGTGCCACTTGCTTTTTCTGCTTATGTGGTGCTGAGGAATCGAACCCAGGGCCTCATGCATGCAAGGCAAGCGCTCTACCACTGAGCCACCTTCCCAGCCCCAGAAATAACTTTTTCAAACTGTGATCACTCTATTTTCACTTCAGCTAAGATTACAGATGTGAGTCATGATGCCCAGCTCTTAAAACTTCTGATGAAAGATACATTGAGGGCTGGGAAGATGGCTCAGTGGTAGAGCGCTTGCCTTGCATGCATGAGGCCCTGGGTTCGCTTCCCCAGCACCACATAAACAAAAAGAAAAAAGCCGGAATTGGCGCTGTGGCTCAAGGGGTAAAGTGCTAGCCTTGAGCTGAAGAGCTGAGGGACAGTGCCCAGGCTCAGAGTCCAGGCCCCACGACCGGACCCCCCCCCAAAAAAAAAACCATTGAAAATTTGAAAAAAAAATGCCATAGGAAGAAAAAAAGATTTCTACAAAGGGATGAGAATTATCCCTTTAATTTAATTTGAATTTCAGTCAAATTTCTCATCAACACTAAATATACAGACCAATATATTTGGTCAAAAAGTATTTGAGGAAAATGATTAAAATAATTTTGAAGATGTAATTTTATTTTCAACTATAAAGGACATTTTCAGACATATAGGAATCACAAGCAGTTACAAACTATAACATTCTTTAAGAGAAAGGGGAATGTGTGTGTGTGTGTGTGTGTGTGTGTTTCTTCAACAAACAAAAGAAATCTGAGGAAGTTTCCTCTGATGAAAGAAGCCAGATTCATTGACTTGCTGAAAATATGCAGAAAAACGAGAAAAACAACAGGCCCAGTATTTGGAAGAGGACAGAAACTAGAGAGGTTTAGAAAATATTTTCTTTTGGAACCATCTGTGGATTCCAGTAGAGGTGACTGAGAAACTTAACAGAGCTTTACCACAGACTTATGAGGCAAGAGGAAAACAAAGTAAAAATATGGTCAAGCAAACAGGGAGGTGGTGAAGAGTGGCGCTGGTGAAATCAGCGGGCTGCAAGTTGGACCCAAGATGTGATATTATTGGAGATGTTGAAGCCCAGCTTCGAGTCATTCCATGGAGGACTGGGAGTATCTTCATCTTATGACTAAGCAGATGTAAATCTTTTTTGGATGGGAAATTCATTGTTCTACATCTTGAAGTATTTTTGTAACTTTTTATAGTGTCTGACACTAAGTCAAATATCATCAGACAAATGAAGAGGCAACAAACAATATGGCTGAACACCTAAAGAAGTAACACTATGGAAACAGAAACAGGATGCAGAAAATAGCTTTCATATATATACTTTAAAACAAACAGGGTTAATATGTTAAAAATGTAAACTGCAAGATTACAATTTTCAGCAAGGAATTGGAAACTTGAAAATGAAGAGATAGAATAAAAGAAACAAGGAAGCCAATGGGTGAATTTAACAACACATAAACTACAGCTAAGGCAAGCAGGAACAAATCAGGTCATTTAAAAGAATAACCAGAGTGGGCTGTGGCTCAAGTGGTAGAGCACTAGCCTTGAGCTGAAGAGTTCAGGGACAATACCCAGGCCCAGAGTTCAAGCCCCACGAATGACAAAAAACAAACAACGAATAACCAGGCCAGGCGCTGCTGTCTCACACCTGTAATCCTAGCTACTCAGGAGGCTGAGATCTGAGGATTGCAGTTCAAAGCCAGCCGAGGCAGGAATATCCATGAGACTCTTATCTCCAATAAACTACCAGAAAACTGGAAGTGGTGCTGTGGCTCAAGTGGGAGAGTGCTAGCCTTCAGATGAAGAGCTCAGAGACAGCATCCAGGCCCAGAGTTCAAGCCCCATGACCAACAAAAAATAAAATATGAATAACCAGAATAAATCATGAAGCCATAAAAGGTCAGAAATTCAAAGAGAAAGCAACACAACAAATACACCCAGGATCCTGTTACACAAGTCACTGTAGTTCTGAAAAGAGAAGAAAGAGAGGAAAGAATGCACTAGATGAAGAGATAAGGGATAAAAAATTTCCAAATTCAAGGGCCATAAATGCAAAATGTGCTATGAATACTTATCACGACAGAAATGAGAATTGCACTTAAATGTGTCAGAGTAAAACAGCTGAAATCCAAAACAAAGGAAACATCTTAAAAGCAGAACAAATTACTTTTAAAGGAGAAATAATTGAGACTTGACACTCAATAGAATCAACAGAAATAAAAAGATAATTGGAACAGTATATTTGTCAACCTAAAATACTGTATCAAATAATGTACTTTTAGAATGGAAGTCGTGGATAGCATTTTCAGACAAACAAAAAGAACCAGCCACTCTTCAGTAAACTTGAACAAAAAGAATTACTGAAAATTGAATACCTTTAATTAGAAAAAAAATCCCAATAGAGAATTCAAGATGTAGGAAGGAATGAGGATAAATAGAAAGGATAAATGTTCAAGTAAATCTAAACAAGTGGTTCTCAACTGAGGGGCAGGTTACTTTTGGGAATGGATGGTGACATTTTTGGTTGTCACAAATGGGAAGAAAGGGGATAGTGGTGGAGGTCAGGCATGCTGTTAATATTCTTCAATACACAGGCCATCTCTCACAGAAAAAGAATGTGGCCCCAAATAGTGATTTCAGCCTGCTGAAGCTGAAAAAGCCTGAATGAAATGAACGTTGAGTATAAGAAAATGTTAATGATCTTTTGAAGTTATAAATCTAAAGAGAACTAAAAAACATGGAAAGAGAATATATTTATCTGGATGGGGTAACCAGAGTCCAAGTTCATACAATTCCTGCATTATTTTGGGAAAGGTAAAGGTATATTAGACCTTTATATTAGGTCTAATATATTAGACTTTGATAAGTCAAGAATACATGTAGTAATTTTGGCAAAGAACAGAAAAGAAAGTGTATAATTACTAATGGAATGATAAAACATTGAACATTCATTTTAAAGGAAGCAAGAAAATAGAAAAAAGTAAAATAATGCAAAAATACATTAAGCATCCCCCCCTCCCAAATCAAACCAAAACAAAAGCAAGCAACTATATTACATTAATATTAGATGATGTCTTAAACTGTTTCCTTTAGGGGGTAACAGGTTTGAACTCAAAGCTTCCTACTTTGCTAAGCAGTCACTAGATCAGTGAACCACACCTCTAGCCCTTTTTTTTTTTTATTATTTTACTTAATTTTATTAAGCCAATCCTGAAGGTTGAACTCAGAGCCTGGGTGTGGTCCCTGAGCTTTTTTTGCTCAAAGCTAGTATTCTACTACTTAAGCCACAGCTCCGCTACAGACTTTTGGTGAGATTGAGTCTAATGGACTTTCTTGCCCAGGCTGGCTTTCTTACCCAAACCCCAAGTTCAAGGCCCAGGTCTGGAAAAAAAAAAAAAAAAGTAAAACTACCTTAAAATCCTAATAAGTTAAAAAAATTATTTCTATAAATCAGGGTTCTCAACCTACTGATATTTTTTGTGAGAGCAGGCTATCTTGTGCAGTGTCCTTGGCATCTTACCTCTGGAGACCTGTCTTGCCTTTCCCAATTTGATGTTTGTTTTTTGTTGTTGTTGTTGTTTTTTGTTTTTTTTTTGGGTCCAGTCGTGGGGCCTGAACTCTGGGCCTGGGAGCTGTCCCTCAGCTCTTCAGCTCAAGGCTAGCGCTCTACCACTTGAGTCACAGCACCACTTCCGGCTTTTTTCTTTTTGCTTATGTGGTGCTGAGGAATCGAACCCAGGGCCTCAGGCATGCAAGGCAAGTGCTCTACCACTGAGCCACTTTCCCAGCCCGCCTTTCCCAATTATGACTACTACATTGCTAAATGTCTTCTGGGGGAAAAGTCACCTTCATTTGAGAAGCAAATCTTTAAATTGTGAGTTGGCAGACTTTTCTGTCACATATTTTAGATTGTGTGGGCTATGTTACAAGTGTCTGTTTCAGCCAATGAACTCTGTATAGTCCAGTATCATAAACAATAAACAAATGAGTATAGCTGTGTTCCAAAGAAACTTTTATGTATACTTAAATGATGCTTCCTTATGATTTAATATGTCATGAAATAGTCTCTCTTTTCAGAATTGAACTCTGAGCCTTTCCATGCTTGACAAATGTTCTACCATTGAGTTACATCCCTAGCCCCAATTTTCTTTTTTAACAACTTAAAAACAATGCAGATACATAATCTCCTGACCTCAGGTCTAAACTGGTATCAGGCTCAGAGCCTGGTTCCCAAGGTCCTCCACAGTAGGTGCCTCAGATGACTTTAGATTGTATATTTGGTTCACTTGCATGACTCCACATAACTCCTTTTGTTCAGAAAATAAAGTGGAAGTCCTGTCCAAATACAGGGGTGAAGACAAGTGAAAATTAAGTTACTGTAAAACTATGACCACAGCCAAGAAAACGAGCATATTTACCATCCTCCAAAGTTCCCCAATGATTGCCTTCACCTGTTTCTCAGCCACACTGCCATCCTAATCCTGAAGCAGCACTCACTCACATACTTTCCCCATAGAACAGTCTGTATTAACTGTAGTTTCCATGTCCATTTAGGATCAACCTCTCTCTCTCTCTCTCTCTCTCTCTCTCTCTCTCTCTCTCTCTTTGTGGGGGGGGAAGGAGAGAGTGTGTGTGTATAAGACAGAGTGATGGATAGATGGATACAGGGGATTAAACCCAGAGCCTAACACATGCTAGTCAAGTGCTCTGTTTGCGACCTATACTACCAGTCCTTTGAATTTTTTAGTCAAAAGTCATGCTGAGTTGCTCAGGCTGCCCTTGACCTTACCATTCCCTTATGTTTCAGCCTCCTAAATAGCTGGGATTACAGACTTATGCCATCATACCTAGATTAGCTTGTGAAATTTTCTAAAGGGCTAGAATTTGGACTGACTTTGTGACCAATCTATAGGTTAAGTTAGGGGAGAATTGAGAATTTAAATTATATACCATACACATGGTGTACAATTCCATTTATAGGAAATCTTATTTCCTTTTTCTCAGCATCATTTTAGGGTTTTAAGGGCTCGTGTTTTACCCAGCTTTTGACAAAAACAAATAATTCACAATTATGGTATTATGAATTATTTATTTTCATCATTTATTTCTGATTGCTATAGCACATAGAAGTAATCTTGATTTTTACAGATATTCTAGCCTGGAACCTTGCTAAAATTTGTTGCTAGTTATAAGAGCTCTTTGGTAGATTCCATCTGATTTTCTATATAAATGACTGAGATACTTGTGAATGAAGTCTATTTTACTTCTTCCTTTCCAATTTGGCTGGAGTTTTCTTAGCAAATGCCAGCTTACAATTGCTAAGAATTAAAGTTCTAGTCTCCTTAAATTTTGTAGAAAGACGAAATATATTTGGGTCTGAAAGGGGAAATACATACAACTTATTTCTAGAATGATAAAATGTTTATCTACAATCTGGATGCAGTTTATTTCTTGATGTTGTCACTGTACTAGCTCAAAAAATCCAGTGAAGTTTTGAACAGAAGTGTTACACATGCATGTTCTTGCATTTTTCCTGACCTTAGGAAAATATTGTAGTTCACCATTAAGTGTGATGTTATCTTCAAGCTTTTCATAAACAAGTTATTACATGGACAAAATTCCCCTTTATTTCTAGTTCATTGAGGGTTTTCATCAGGATACTGACAGTAAGGGGACCTAAGTGAGGGCCACAGGAAAAGAGCTGCTAGGTGGGCAGTGGGGGAGGGGGGAGGGGGTGGGGTGCACCTGGGGAGTTAAACCCTGAAGAAAATGGTCTTGCCTTCTGATTTTTGATTTCCTGATACGAATAACTTTAGGCTAGGAGAATCCTCTGATGACAGTCCCTGAGATAACTGTGGAGGTTTCTCTTTGCCTGCCCATGGTATTCAACTTCACAGGGACTGCATCAGCAGTGCTGCGGCACTAAGGGGATAAATATATACTTCTCACATTTGTTTGCCAGCTTCACCATGAGCAGTGGTCATTCACTGCCCTCAAAACCAGCTGATTAAGACCTCTTCCTATCTTTTGCTTCCTTACACTGATGCTATTGCAAGTTACTTCTGTATGGTACCACCATACAATCATTTATGAAAAGAAATTTTTAAAGCGAGCAATCAAAATAAAAAGGGAAGGGCTGGGGAAAGGGGTTGTGGGTGATATTAGTCACAGGGAACCTTGGTAGATCATCAAAAGCCCATAGCACATTGAGGTGAGTTGACTGAAGCCCAATGGCTAACTTCTGCCCACTGCCTTTTACTATGAATTTTATTAGGACACAGGTCCAGTCACTACACATTGCTTATGGCTGATTTCATGCTACAGTAGGAGAGTTGAATAGTTATAACAGAGAATATGCAGCTCACAGGCCTGAGATATTTACTATCTGGCCATATACAGAATAACTTTGCTCAAAACTGGTCTAGCAACAAAGACATAAAAAAAAACTCCCAAGTTTGACTTGGTAGTAATATTATATATATCATATCAGTGCTAGTTTATAAAGAGTTCCTACTAAGGCATTTAGGCAGCTAGAAACCAATGTTCAGATATAAAAATTTACTCATCACTAACTTTGAAATTTTGTTTCATTCTAGACATTGGTTGGTGAAAAAAAATCAAACATGAAATTTGCATTTTTGTTTTGTTTTGTTCTTATTTTTCAAACTGACTTTGGACAAAATGAAAAAACTCCTAAGAAACAAAGGAGGAAAATGTACCACAAAAGATTGAGGAAAAGTTCTTTACTCAACCATAGGTCAAACCAACAACTCGGAACTCAGCAAACCATAACTGTTCCACCAGTAGCAAGACTGCCCATGATCAACTTTGATTACAGTGTGGAGGAAAAGTTTGAATCTTTTCTTAGTTTTCCTGGAGTAGAATCAAGCTATAATGTGCTACCAGGTAAGAAATGGAGAAAGAGGAGGAGGAGGTTGGAGAGGGAAGAGGGAAAGAAAACAAGAATAACTCTGAAGTTAAATCTTCAAAGAAAACGTCAAGTTCTTGCAGTACCTCTGGTTTAATCTAAACATAAACTTTTAAATAATTAAAAAAACATTTAGTGAGTATACTTATACAACAAAATAATTACTTACTGCTGTATTATAAGATGAAGTTATTTTCTTTGAGCATACTTATTATGCCCATATTTTAAGTACTCACAATCAGAAAACAGATAATATACTTGTAAACCTAAAATGTTTTTTCATTTATAATGACAGATTATCTGTCCAGATCATCTAGAATAGAAATAACAATTTTATGAACACACAGGTCTTAAATATTTTTTCAACCTCAACCACAAATACAGTGAAAGCCAATGAATTTAGACCAAATAACTGACTTTATAAAGGCTGAAAGACTGGAAATTCTGTCAAAGATTTCACCTAAGTGTTTTGTTGTAGCAATACTAGTATTGCTTTTATTTTTCCAGTCCTTTTTGCTCAGGCTGGCCCAGACTATAATCTTCATAAATACACTATAGCTGGGATGATAGGCACATACCACCACACTCAGCTTTTACTGTTGAGCTAGAGTCTCAGTAACTTTTTGCCTGGTCTGGTCTCAAACTCTGACTGTCTTGATGTTTCTCTTCCAAATAGCTAGCATTACAGTGTAAGCCACTGCGCCTAGCACAACTGCGTGTTTTATGTGTGAGAAAAAGAGAGGAGAGGAGAGAAGGAGGGAGGGAGAGAGAGAGAGAAAATTCAAGCATGAGAACATGAGAGAACCAGGGCTTGAACTCTGTGCTCTTGCTTAGCTTTTCCACTGATGTCTGGAAATCTACCACTTGAGCCATGTCTCCAGTCCAGCATTTTTCTGGTTAACTGGAGATAAGTCTCAAGAACTTTTCTGCTCAGGCTGGCTATGGACTGTGATACTCATATATCAGCCTTCTTAGTGGCTAGAATTATATATGTGAGTTACTTAAAGGCTTTCAAGTAGGCATTTAAAAAAAAAAACCCTAGTGGGGCTGGGAAGGTGGCTCAGTGGTAGAGCGCTTGCCTTGCATGCACGAGGCCCTGGGTTCAATTCCTCAGTACCACATAAGCAGGAAAAAAAAAAAAACCCTAGTATGTATTAATCCATATTTTTTCAGGTTTGGAAAACAGTATACTGTAGGTATGCTACCACTAAATAAAACTGAAAAGACAAAAAATCCTTTATAATCATCTGTGGCCAATACCTTATACATTGTTTAAATAAAGCCAAATCCTTCTAAAAGGAAGGCAGAGAAATGGACTGTAATAATAGCGTATCATTAACTGCTACAGAATGATAACATTCATTTCCAATCCAAGCTCAAAGTAGTATACATATTATGTCTCTCATTTGCCTTTATAGTTATCTATCTGAGATGGAGTCTTATTATGCTACACAGGCTAGCCTGAAACTATTAGCCTTCTATAGTGGCAGTTTTTCTGCCTTAGCTCTGGAATGACTGGGACAATAGAAGCAGCCCAGCTTAGTTTTAAACAAATACATAGAACAGAGTGGTATATATCTATATCTGTGTGTGTGTGTGAGTGGTGTATATATATATATATATATTATAAATAAAATAGACTATACATACTAAACATTCCTTACTTGCCCAATTTGTTTTCTGGTGGTCTTTATTGTATCACCACATATGACATGAAACATACTAATTTATAGTGTTCAATATAAATTGTGACTATACAATATAGTCCCTGAACATTTTCATCATTTCAAAAGAAAAGCTTGTGCACAACCCTTCATTCCCACCTACCTTCACCCCTGGCAACTCTAATCTGCCTTCTGTGTTTTTGCCTATTCTGGAAATCTCATATAAACAGAATCATCTTCTATATGGCTCTGTGCATGTGGTTTCTTCCACTGAGTATGTATTCAAGTTTTGTCCATGTTTAGATTGTATCAGAACTTACTTCTCTTTATAGTTGACATATTTTGAAATGGAAAAATATTTTATATTTTACCTATTTTTAATCTATTCTTTATGGGCATGTGGGTTGTTTCCATCTTTTGGCTATTGTTCATGACACAAGTATGAACATTTGTGTGTGTGTGTCTGTACGTTTTGAGCATTTGCTTTGAACATGTTTTCTTTTCAGTACATACCTAGGACCTTCATACATGTGAACGTGAAGTAGGATTTTATTGTATCTTTGATTTATATATGTCCCTAATGACTAATGATGCTTTCATGACTTCTTGTCCATTTGTCTATCTTCTTTGGGGAAATCTTGATTCAAATTCTTTGCTAATTTTTGTAATGTATTGTCTTTCTTTTGTTTGTTTGATCGGTCATGGGGCTTGAACTCTGGGCCTGTCCCTGAGTTCTTCTGTTCAAGGTGAGCACTCTACTACTTGAGCCACAGCACCACTTCCAGTTTTCCAGTGGTTAATTGGAGATAAGAGTCTCACAGACTTTCCTGCCTGGGCTAGCTTTCAACTGTGATCCTCAGATCTCAGAATCCTGAGTACCTAGGATTACAGGCATAAGCCACTGGCTTGTAAGAGTTTTTTTGTACTTATTTTCCATATTGTTATGGTATGCAATTCAGTTAGGTTTTCCCAAGGAGGTCACACTGTGACTGAATGAGGAGCTGAAGAGTCAAAGTACTTCAAAGGGTTATATCTGTAGGACATTTCTGTCCTGTACATAGAATCTTATTCATGTACACCCATATCAGTTTAACTTTGGTTCATAGATGCAGATAATTACTTAAGAAATTTAAATGTACTACTGTTCTCTTATAGGAAAGAAGGGACATTGCTTGGTAAAGGGCATAACCATGTACAACAAAGCTGTATGGTCTCCTGATCCCTGTAGTACCTGCCTCTGCTCAGATGGAAGAGTGCTTTGTGATAAAACCATGTGCCAACCTCAGATGTGCCCCTACACAGTTGTACCTGATGGAGAATGCTGCCCGGTCTGCTCTAATGCTGGTACAGAGATTTAGCCAAAACAAAGTGTCACATGTGATTTAGTCTTTAACTTCTATTTGTTTTTATCTTGTCATTACATTAAGGTGTAAATCATGATAAACTTTCATCATTTGGGTATGAAATATGGCACAATGCTGATAAACATAGAAACATCTGGGGAAATATGTAGGAGGGTACACACATAACAGATTGTGGCTTTATAGTTACAGCTGTTGGATTATATCCCATATCTGACCCTTAGCATTGGTGATACAGTGACAGTTTCTACAGTAGACTGAGTTATTGTGTATTAAGGGTTCTGCGTTGGTTTGTACATACATTCTCTCACTTAATCCAAGATACTGAATAAAGGAGTGGTTTCTACTGCAGAACACAAAGCCTCAACCACACAAAGGCAATCCAGGAACCCACATCAAGGCCTGTGAAATCCTAGGGAGATGCAGGAGTGTGTCCTGGAGCATGATTTTCTTGTGTGGCAGTTTTGCACACATGAAGTCATAGCATTGGCTTTGTTGGATTTTCACTGACTATGCTCCTCCCCATTTTTTTGTGCTGGTTCTGGGGCTTGCACTCCGGGTCTGGCTGCTGTCCTTGAGCTTTTTTCCTCACAGCTAGTTACTACCATTTGAACACAGCTTCCAGCTTTTTGGTGGTTAATTGGAGATAAGAATCTCACCGACTTTCTTGCCCAGTCTGGCTTCAAACTACAATCTTCAGATCTCAGCCTCCTGATTGCTAGGATTACAGGCTGAACCATCGCACCTGGTTCCTGATCCCCCTTCTTCAGTGAGATTCAAACTAACCAAATGGGCACCCTTGAAAGGTCTCTTACAAAAAAAAAGCTGAATGACATATGAAAATAAACAAATGCTTGGTAAATAATTTGACAAGAAAGGATAGAGACATTTTCTCTTGTCTATAGAAGGAAGATTACTTCTATGAAAACAGATGATCACAGGTTCAGTGTCTATAAAAATCTCCTGCCAGCCAGAAGGAATATTAGAATATTTAGGAATTGCATTTTTGTTTCATACTGTCAGGTATTCCATTTAAGTATTATGCTGTTTAGATATGTGATTGTTTAGACAAACTAATTCCAGGGAGTAAAATACAAGATAAGATCAAGACATTCCAACACATTTTTCAAGACTTTTAAGAGTATTTATGAAAGATTTAAGTATTCATGAACGGTTGAAGTTATATTGGAAAAATAACTTGGACATATGGGAGGAATTTTAAATGTTTTAATATGGTAGCCTCAGTTTACTAATATTTTCCTATACCTTTGGCATGCTTTGCTAGAGATTTGAAAAAAAAAAACTTGACTTTATAATATATACTGTAATGCTATCACAAGTTATTTGTTCAAATATTTGTATTTCCTGATTTCTTTTGGGAGATGGTTTATAAACAGTATTCAGTGAAGGAAGAGAGAGAGGATCAAGTGAATTTTAAATTTTGTTGGAAGAAATCATATGTATTGTGTACTCATCCTTAGTACTCTTTATTCAGAGTATAACTGAGTCTAGACCTAAGTCTTCCCTACTTTCTTCCAAAGGCATAAAGCTAAAAATAACTTCCTGCTATTATCTATTTTACCCCCAACATTGTGGAAGGACAAAGAGCAATTTTGTGCAGAAGTCTAAATTAAAGTAATTTTCTTTGTTGTTGTTGGTTGTGGGGCCTGAACTCTGGGTCTGGGCGCTGCCCCTCAGCTCTTCAACTCAAGGCTAGCAATCTACCACTTGAGCCACAGCGCTACTTCCAGTGTTTTCTGCTTATGTGGTGCTGAGGAATCGAACCCAGGGCCTCAGGCATGCAAGGCAAGTGCTCTACCACTGAGCCACCTTCCCAGTCCGAAAGGGAGAATTTTCTATCAGTAATTTGATTAGAAACCAGAAACCAGAAGATATCAGAAACTGAAAGAAAATTGGATGATGATGATAATGATGATGATGATAATAACAATAATAATAAAGCTATAAAAGTTACACTTCTGTAATCAGGTAAAATATACATCCTGTGGCACCTTTTAAAATCTCTGATAGGCTATAAATTGTTACCTTATCAGTAGCCCTGATGAATGCAACAGTATCTATTATAAAGGTATTACATAAGATAACATTTTAGTATTACGAAAGGACTGCTTTCCATTTTGCATCATATGACAATATTATTCCCTCTTCAGACATCAGGTAGTGCTATATTCTTGCACAAATAAGAATTAAGTTATTTTGTGTAAAAACTAGGCATGTGGGATCAAAAAATTATCAACAGCAGATCTAACAAAACATAAGAAAAGTTACAATTAGACTTTTCATGGAAAAATTTTAAGAAGCATTTCATCTTTAGATAGCATTTAAACATGTGGAGGGAATAATATTTACTTATCTCTCATCTTCATACTTTTTCCTTTATTAACATCATCAACTGGCCCTGCTATCTCCTACTTGTGTGGTCATTAGTCTCCCATTCCCCTCCCAATGGTGCAACATTAAATGATAGAACTGAATTTTCTGGTGATTCTTCAGAACAAACAGAAGCTACCGATTTACTTCATAAGCAACTGCCACCACCTCAGGTAGAGATGGACCAAGTACACAATAAAGAAACACTTCAATCTGAGGAGGATGAAGAAGCAATTAAAGAAGATAAAGAGCATAAGAAAAAGACTTCTGAACCTAGAGATCAGAGCAAACTTCACAGTGAGCAGAACAGGAGAGAGAGAAAGCTGAGGCCTGGGGAAGAGAAGTCAGTACAGCAAAGACTGCATCCTGGAAGGGGAGAGGAAGAAGAGAATCAAGAGAAAGCAGAGAAGGAAGAGGAAGAAGAGAAGGAGGAGGAGGAGGAGCAGGAGGAACAGGAGGAAGATACCATAAGAGGAGACGTATTCCAAATGCCTTCCCGAGTCCCCATCCCTGCTCTTCCCAGAGGCAGGCCGCGCCTGCCCACGGGCTGCTCCCTCTCTTACAAGACCATCAGCTGCATCCATGCCACCCTTACCCAGATCCCACCGCTGACAGCACCAGAGATAACAAGTCTGGAACTCATAGGTAAGAGATGTTGACTTGTTTTAGTTTGTACATTTATGAATACTTTATGAATGTTACGTTTTGCTTTCATAATAGAGACTAATTTTATCACCTTCATAATATGAATTGTGCAAAAGAGTCAGGCACTCACTGAAAAATGGCTCCATTAAGAATAAATTCCAAACCAAATTATAATTATTTCGTCCTGAGGCTTGAACTCTGGGCCTGGGTGCTATCCCTGAACTTTTGTGCTCAAGCTAGAACTCTACTATGCTTGAGCCAATAGCTCCACTTCTTGCTTTTTCTGTGGTTAACTGGCGATAAGAGTCTCACAGACTTCTTCCCTGGCTGGCTTCAAACCATGATCCTCAGATCTCAGCCTCCTGAGGAGCTAGAATTGCAGTCATGAGCTGGTGCCTGGCTAACACACAATTAATTTTTTTTTTTGTCAACCATAGGGCTTAAACTCAGGGCCTGGGTTCAATCCTTGAGCTATTTTACTCAAAGCTAGTTCTGTACCACTTTGAGCCAAAACTCTACTTCCAAATTTTGGATGGTTAATTGGAGATAAGAATCTCACAGACTTTTCCTGCCTGGGTTGGCTTTGAATCTCGATTCACAGATCTCAGCCTGAGTAGTAAGGATTATAGGTGTGAGCCATACCAAATTATTTTAATGGCCCTTTTTTGAAAGTTTTAATGAGACACAATTAATATGACAGAACATTCTTAGTGCCAGGTTATGTTCTATTGTATGGACAGAAGCTGCACAACAGTTTTTTTTAGGGTAGCTACTTTATTGTTCCCAGAAATGTTCAAGTTTTTTTTAATGAGTTTTGACAAACACACGCAATTGAATAAATATCATAATAATCAAGATATAGAACACTTGTGTCACTTCTCAAAATTCCTCATGTCAATATCTACACTAGTGCTTGGCTACCAGAATAAAATGATTCTGTTTCCTGTTCTTACAGAATCACACAGCACTTACTGTTTAGATTGGGTGTCTTTGGTTTTTTATTTTTATTTTATTTATTTTTTTACATCTTTTTAGTGCCAGGTGGTGTTCTACTGTATGGTAGAAAGTGCCCAACAGTTTTTTAGGGTAGCAACTTTATTGTTCCCAAAAATGTCCTTGAGTTCCCACAAAGCCAGTACTTCCTATTGTCAGCTGTTTTCAGCCTTGCCTATCTTCCTTGGTGAATGGGAATGTGGTGTCTAGATCCTGGCCCATGTCTCCATAGGGCCCACTTGAAGTGTTCAGAGCGGAGAAAGAGCAGGACCAGCTGTGAGGGGCTAGCTGGTAGGGAAATGCCAGGCTGGCCCCAAGGATGTAGAGGTGAGGGCACCTGAATGGATTTAAAGTTCCATGTGCAGAGATGGCAAGTGTCAGATGCGTGAGAACCTTCATGGCTTCCCTGACACTACTTTCATCCCTCTTTCACATGATCGCCTAAGGACTTCCTTATACTCGCCCCCCCCCACCCCAAGGCCCTCTCCTTGTAGCCTATATGTGAGGTACACTGTGCTCTAGGAAAACTCAGGCTGTCAAAGTCAAGTTTTGCTTGGAAAGGCTGAAAAACTCAAGTGGTGTGACATTGCATTACAAGGTTACCATGTTTTTGTTAACTTGCTTTTTTCATTTAGCCACTGACTACATGTCATATAACTACATGTCAAAACAAAAGTCCATAAAATTAAAGCAGGTAGGAACCTCTGTAGATAGAAGACAGTAGAAGCATAATATTAACTATTGGAGAGGAGAATCTAAGAGATTATTTTCCCAAGCTTTCATTTTGTGGGAGGGGAGGGGGAAGAGAAAACTAGGGCTTAAATTCAAGTTTAAACTAGTGTGGGCTTCGCTGGTGTTCTCTTACTTGAGCCACAGTTTCAGCCTTTTTCCCCCTCAGTATTTTGGAGATGGAGTTTCATAAACTTTTCTGTCTAGGCTGATTTTTAAAAATTTTTTATTTTATTGTAAAGATGCTGTACAGAGGAGTTACAGTTACATGAGTAAGGTAATGAGTACATTTCTTATTGAGCATTGTCTAGGCTGATTTTGAACCATGATTCTCCAGGTCTCAACCTCCAGAGTAGATGGAATTACAGGTATGCATCACTTGTGCCCAGCCCAAGTTCCTTTGTGAAGAGAAGGAAAAGTGAATGGCAGTGAGTGATTTACTTGACAAAACTAGCACCATATTTTGAGTGCAAAGAAATGGTAATGAAAAGAATGAAGAACAAAAATTGGTTTCTCTATAGCCTTGCAGAAACATACCCTTGTTATAGATGCATAAAAGCTACTAGCACTGTCCAGCAGACTATATTCTGGTTCTTTTGAGCAGCTTCATCTGAAATATGAGGTACTGGCCACAATAGATTTTTTTTTTTTGGTTGGTTGTGGGGCTTGAACTCTGGGCTTGGGCGCAGTCCCTGCACTCTTCAGCTCAAGGTGAGCACTCTACCGCTTGAGTCGCAGAACCACTTCTGGTTTTCTAGTGGTTTATTAGATAAGAGTCTCATGGCCTTTCCTGCCCGGGCTGGCTTTGAATCGTGATCCTCAGATCTCAGCCTCCTGAGTAGCTAGGATTACAGGCTTGAGCCACCGGTGCCTGGCCACAATTTATTCTTGACTAGAAACTTTTGACTATGTAAAATCATCTAGTCCCAATCTTGTTATTTTTCCAAACATGTTTGTTTCTATTAACCTGTCAATGTTGTGAGTATTGCTTTCTCCTCCATATATAACTCTCACTTCATATTCATGCACATATATGCATGTATCTGCACATGTGCCCAATAAAAATAATTTGCTCTGTGTCCTAGAGAATTCCATTACCTCCATTCCGGATGAAGCATTTAATGGATTACCAAATTTGGAAAGGCTTGATCTGAGCAAAAATAATATCACCTCTTTGGGCATAGGTCCCAAAGCATTCAAGGTAAATGTTCCAATTTGTATTTAATAATCCCCATGGACAGATTCACCATGACTGCCATTGGCCGGGGTTTGAAGGGGGGAAGGGAGAAAAAGGCAGAAAGATTTTTGTCCTGGTTTTCTTTCACATTAACAAAGTTTCCTAAATTGCATTCTAGTTTTCTCTTGACTACAGTTTATTTTGCCAACATTTAGTCTTAATCTAAGTCTTAACCAATAATAACATCAGTGACATTAACTGGCGTTTTCAATTTACAAAGCAAGTTCTAAGTAGTTGAAAATATGTTGATATCTGGTCTCCTAGAATATGAAGTATTGTTTAGTGTTAAAGTAGAGCTTATTTGGAACCTCTTATTAAAATTTCCAGGCCAGCAAGACAGAACTTCCTTTTTTCTGCACAATGGGAAAGAGTCTGATGGAGGAATTTTAGCAGATGGGGTTCTGGGGAAACAAAACCCACAAATGGGCTCAGATGAAAATTTGCACAGGAAAACAAAAATAGAAGAGACAAAAAGTTGGTTTGGGTAAATGAAAACTCAGAAATATATGTACTTTAAAAACCATAAGCAGCAGTGGCTCATGCCTGTAATCCTAGCTCCTTGGGAGGCCCAAATGGGAAAGATTTTGCTGTTTGTGGTCAACAGAGGCCAAAGTCTGCAAAATTCCATTTCAATGGAAGGTAGCTGGATTCAGTGGAGTCTGCCTACATCCCAGCTTTCATGGGAAGACTGAAATAGGTAGATTGTGATACAGGTGTATGTCTGGGTAAGAAGTGAGACCCACTTCAAAAAATGCAAGAGGGAGGTATGGCTCAATGGTAGAGAGCCTGCCTAGCAAACATGAACCCCTCAGGTCAAACCCCAGTACTGCTCCCCTCAAAAGACCTCAGTGGAACACAGTGTATTTCCTTAGGTAAAACTTTTGTTCCTTTGGACAGTTTTCTGGGCCCTCTGTTTACTCTCCGGGAATGTCCCTACCCTCTTATAGTCTCTGCTCTTGGTTTTCCTCTGAAGTATAAGGAGGTAGTGGGAGAGATTCAGATGCCTGCTTAATGTGAAGGGCTGGCATTAGAGAGTCATACTTTTTCTTACATTTGATCAACTATGGGAGATTACATCCTTTTCTGTCCTGTTCTAAGACCATTGAAATTTGAGTATCACTGGAGAAGTGAATCATTCCATATAACTTCAGTAAAATGTGGTGGTGCAGGCTAGGTCTGGCCAACTAACGCAAGAATACAATGTGGACATGCCTTTTCCTGAAAGTTAACTGAGTAACTATATAGGAACAACTGATGATACTTGGAGCCCTGTTTTGAAAACTTGCCACAGCAATTACTGCTGTTTTATGACTCTTTTCCTAGCATAGATATTAGTGCAGATAAGAAAGTAAATTTTATAAATGGTAGAAGGGCTAACATCTATTTGTTAGCATCCATGACAAATTACTGTAGGAATTAAGCAAAATTCTGTCAGCTGCTGTGAAGGCAACATCCTCAGTCCTAGCAAAATATGACTGATCCAGTGACTGCAGTAGCATTCTTTTGCTTTCTTGAGCTGCAATATAAACACTCACAAGAGGAATATAAACTTAACAAACATAGTTTGCTACAAAGGCCAGAGAAGTATTATTAAGATAATATTTAACTGTTTAAGGGAAACTGATATGCAGATTGCCATGCAGTCTAAATATTACTGCCCAAGCCTTAGGAAGTACAGGTCTGTGTGACTTTCAGTATCTATTTAAACTGACCAATATGTAGAAGGTGTAACTGTGTAGCTGCCATCAGATAAAATGGTAATTTTGAGATTTTGTTTAAAAGTTTCTGAAGAAGTTAATGCGTCTGAATATGGATGGAAATAATTTGGTACAGATTCCTTCAGAATTACCATCGACATTAGAAGAACTTAAAATCAATGAGAACAATCTTCAGGCTATTGATGAAGAAAGTTTATCAGGTATTTAATATTTTTTTCATGACAGTTTTTCTTAAAACTTTTCTTCTCTTGTCCTATAGAAATTGATTTATGATATTACCAAATAAATAGAAAAAATTGGGTCATTTTTCCATTTAAGTTGATAAACATTTTAACTTTTCACTGTCAGACTTAATTATAAAGAAATTTTAACAGCTGGGTGCCAGTGGCTAATGCTTGTAATCCTAGCTACTTGTGAGGCTAAGAACAGAAGGACTGTATGTACCTGGGCAGAAAAGTTAGCAAGACCTTCTCAACCAATAGCTGGGGCGAAGTGACATGTGTTTGTCATCACAAAATACATGGGAAGATAGTATTAGGAGAATCATGGTGCCAGGTTAGGGCAGAAAAATTTGACTTTGTTTCCATGATAGGAACCTGGACAGGAGCCTTGTGCTTGTGATCTTACCAACAACAGGAAGACTTAAAGTGGGTAGATTGCCACTTGAGTGTGTACTGGTGTAGATAGTATGGTTTACTGATATCATGCTAGCCTAACAAGTTTAAGGCCTTCAGTTCAAACCATACAGTACTGCATAAAAAAAGAAAAACAAAAGATATAAGCATGTACGGCACTGGGTCCTGCTATTAACACATTCAATAAGATTGTATGTGCAGTGCTATGGTACCACCTCAACGTGCGTTCCTTATGGATATATTTTGGCGAGGGGTGTTTAAACCTGCAGTAACTAGTTCCTCTTGTGCTTGTTTCTGGACAGTGCTGGGTAGCTGAAGTTATACCACATTTTCATTAATTCGAGTTGATATTTTTGATTAGATTGTGAGCTTCTTTAGGGTAAAACCACCTATTTTACTTTTTCATCTTACAGACCACATAGCACTGCTGTGTATAGTATTGGTACTTTCTCTTAACTTGATTTGTCTATCATGTAAATGTCGATAACCAAGCATTTAAAGAGGGAAAAATTAAATTATTTCTTTAATTCCCAAAACTTTTATAACCACAAAACTTTTCTGGTTATGAAAAAAGAACAGTAATTAAGAATGACCAGTTCCTGAGGATTACATAGTTATGGAAATACTCTATTTCCAGATGGATTTCAGGGCACACATGAAAAACATTAATAAACACAAATTTTGATGGGCTTTGTCATATGGAAAAAATTGGAAAATTTACTGCTCTCTTAAACACACTGAAAACATAAAATTTAGAATAAGTGTACTGATGGGCTGTATGAACTATTATATATGGGTTTACATTTCTAACTCTACTATCAGAATGATACCTTATAGATCATAATCTAAGTTTTGTTTGTTTTTCAGACAAGGTCTTTCTATATAGCCCAGCCTGCAGACTGGCCTTGGGTTGGGTTCTGAATCCTGCAGCTACACTAGCCCCTTGAGTAGTGATGTTCTCTTGGCCGCAGCAGCTGCTGGGCGCCCTTGGCTCCCATGAGTCTTGCTGTGGATGGTATGGTCAGGCTCTCTGGCAGTGGGCCAGTGAGCTAAACATTGTCCCTCTAGGTGCCATGATGCAGCCCTCTTGTATGGAGTCCCTGGCTTGACCATCAGTGGCTGCTGCTCTCTAACATTCCTCCCTGTAGCTTCTGCTTATGATAGTCACAGAGAAGTTGGGAAGAAGGCAGTACAGTGAGAAAAAAAAAAAAACCTACCAGAAATACATGAGGACACAAGATAACTCTGCTGTGGGGATTGCAGGCAGGTCATCTGTAAACCAGTTGTGAATCAAGGGCATGAGAGCAAGTAAATTGTGGGAGATGCTTGAGAGGTGAATATGTACTAAAGAAAGAGGGAAGGCTTACCACTGATGGAGAAGATCGAAAGCTAGAGAAGAACACTGGAAAAACAGACTTGCTTCAGAAAATTTGTTTTGATGGTACTGGCATTTGAACTCAGAGACTTATGCTAGCTATTTAGGCCCTTTACCGTTTGAGCCATAGCTTTAGCCACTATTCAATAGACATATTTTTGTCAGGCCTAATGACCAAAACAACCAAGTCATGACCACTGTGGCCACTCTAGCCCAACAGGGACACTGACAAATTACCTTGTCCACAACTAGTCATGGTACCTCTCCCACAAAGTTTTCTCTTACTTCTATTAACTGTTCATGAATCTTCTTTCAACATCAACTTAAATCTAATTTACCAGAAACTATCTTCCTCTAGTTTTCTCCCCACTCTCCTCAAAACATCAAAGGAATCATGGTTTAGCTCTATGTTTCTCTTTCAGGTCATGTGATGACCATTAGTCTTCTTACACTATCTTCCTTTAGTGGAAAACTTCTACATTTTAAATTTCATCTCTGTACACAGAAATGCTAAATTCTCACTACTTTTAATTTTAGGGAAAAAATGAGGAAATAAAACCACTTATCCACTTTCCTGGCTGGCCTCCCTCTTTCCTGTCATCCAACCCTTTGACCCTAAGTACCATCCTAATCTTTTACAATGTGGCTTTATCATTCCATCCCATGTACTGCTTCTTGGCAGAGAGAGAATGAGAGCCAATCTGCATCCAGGATACAAAGTCCTTCCCCAGGGCATTTCTCTTACCCCACTAGGATGAGGTCTATTCCCAGCACACCCAAAGGCAGTTTACCTTCTGCTTCAGCCTGAAAATTTCTCCCATTTTAACTTAAATCTTCCTACTCTTTTATTTTTGGGGGGGTCTGGTCGTGGGGCCTGAACTCTGGGCCTGGGCGCTCTCCCTCAGCTCTTCAGCTCAAGGCTACCGCTCTACCACTTGAGCCACAGTGCCACTTCCAGCTTTTTTTTTTCTTTGTGCTTATGGTGCTGAGGAATCGAACCCAGGGCCTCATGCATGCAAGGCAAGCGCTCTACCACTGAGCCACCTTCCCAGCCCCAAATCTTCCTACTCTTAAGAGATGTCTACTTTTATCCAACTCAGAGCTCGTTAATCTTCTAACATGGATTGTATCTTTACTCCTGATATCCATCTTTGGGTTAAGTAGGATTGAGTTGTACAGGGTATTTGGGGCAATGTCTATAACAGAAGTTGGACAGGCAAACATCCTTGGTTCTGGGAATCTTGGCTACGCCCTGACCACTGACTCAGAGGCCCCTGGGTATGACATCGTTGAGTGGTGCATGCTCTAGCTCAAAACTAACTTCCAGTTGACCTAGATGATATTACTCCTGAGGCCAGTGCAGGAAAAAACAAAAAACTTGTTTGTATTAAAGCCTTTCTTAGTAGATAAATCTGAATGTGTGGAGAATATTTGATCATCGTTCTTTCAAATACTCCCATTTGAAACAACAGCAGCAACATAAAAAAATACCTATGTGGTTGCACTCTATGCCCCAAAATGAATCAATTTGGAATTTACTGCTTTGCTTTATTTCTAACTCCCTTATTCAAAGGCTGAAAGTTTGCCAGTGAAAGTAATCCTTTATGTTTTGGAAAAAGGAATAAATTCCAACCTATTATGTATGACACTGCCAGTCTTACCTACAGGTCTTTGAAAATCCTTCCAATGACTTCCTATAATCTTCTTTACTTGCCTACTTATATTCCAAATTCCTTCTTGGCTAGAGTGGCCTCTAGGAATACCCCTGACTTCTGAGTACCTTTTCCTATCCCTCTCTTGCTTCTTTTATACACATTTGCATAACCCAATTCTTTTTTTTTTCTTTTTCGGTCATGAGGCTTGAACTCTGGGCCTGAGCACTGTCCCTCAGCTCTTCAGCTCAAGGCGAGTGCTCTACCACTTGAGCCACAGCACCATACCTGGTTTTCTGGAGATAAGAGTTTCATGGCCTTTCCTGCCCAGGCTGATTTTGAACCCCAATCCTCAGATCTCAGCCTCCTGAGCTAGGATTACAGGTGTGAGCCACCAGCACCCAGATACAACTCAATTCTTGAATGGTTTCTTATTTGGACTATGCAATTTTTTTGAATTGCTCATCTGTGATGTGCAAAGTACTTAGAAAAGAGGTCTATGGGGGTGGGAAATGCAGATAAAGTAACTATTATCTCCACATATACTAAATTTTCACATGTAGGCTATAAACCTGCATGCTTGGCTAGGGGCATAGCTCAAGTGGAAAAGCATCTACCTAGGAAATATGAGGCCCTGAGTTCAAACTGTAGTACTACCAAAACAAAAACCAAAATGGTATGACTCTTCTTTCTGGTTGATACAAGAGACTGAACTCATGGACTTGCTCATATTAGGCAAGCGTTCTATAACTAAGCCCCACTACCAGCCAAACCCCATGTTTTCCAATGATTCTAATATTTTGATAATTTTGTGTTTTTAGACTTAAATCAATTGGTCACCTTAGAATTGGAAGGAAACAATCTCAGTGAAACCAATGTCAATCCTTTAGCTTTCAAACCCTTGAAGAACTTATCCTATCTACGCCTGGGAAGAAATAATTTTAGAATTATACCACAGGGTCTTCCTGATTCTATTGAGGTACCAGTATCTTTCTACTGTTTTAAATGTACCACATTTTTAACATAATAACAAATAAACATATCTTAAAAGATTTTTGTTACAAATATACATTTATTAAATTGCTAAAGTTTCTGTGCAGTATTCAGAATTTACTGTAAATCTGAGCTTTAGATGCCCTTAATAAGATGATAAATGGTACTACTGACAGTTCCTTTTGGGAAGAATGGGGAAGAGGAAGTGAGAGTTTGAACAGAAATCACAACTTTCAAAAGGTACCTCTAAGACAATTTAAACTGTCCCAAATAGAATCATGAGGTACAATCTAGACTAAGCTCAAACTGTTAAAAACAACAACCTGACTACACTCAAGTTCCAGGTAAAACCTCATACGCTCTAACTGAATCCTATTATATAGATCCAAGTGTTGTATCAACAAGGCCTTGGCCTTGTTTTGTACCTTACAAATTTTGGCCAGTTCTATCGAGACTGCCTTTTGATTACCTCCAGGACCAAAGTCCCTTCCTTCTTTCAGCTGTTATAGAGTCAACCTAAGAGTTCTCTGGAGTGTGAGCTTCTTGCTTCAAGGAGTATTCAAGCATCAACATTCCTCATTTCCTCTACTATAAACACTGAAGTTAGAGAGTCTAAAAATACGAACAGAGCCAGCTGGAACCCCAGTTTCCTTATCGGAGCTTGTTTCTACCACGCTATGTAATTAATCCAGCAGAAGCTGGGATGGAACCTCCTCTAGTGCAGTGATCCGGAACAGTTATCTGTTGTGATCTCATGCTGTTGTCATGGCTACCACTCTCCTTGTTCCTGTTTCCAGACTAAGAGTTATATAACAGTGGAATTTATCACTATTTGGCTTTATATCAGAACCACCTAAGTTCTTAATGCATACAATCTCTTGGACCTATCCTGAATATGCCAACTTAGATTTTTTGGAGAGCCAGAGTCAGAAATTTAAAAAACAATTAAAATTTTATGTAGATTATCTATGCAACTGGTTAAAATACAATAATTTGGATAATACAAAAGATGAATGTGCCTCTCTATGTCTGAACCTCTCAAAACTTCCATCCTGGCTTCTTTCTCTCCAAAGGGACGTACTCCATCAACCTGGGAAGTATAGGCAAACAGTATGCAAACATATGAACTATAAATCCAAGGTTTCTGCTTCACGCCAGCCTCACCTAACTCATGTCTCAAGACTCACATCATTCTTTCCTACAGCTGCAGAATTTTCAACTAAAGGATTGGTATACCAGGATTTATTTAACTTGTCCCCTACTGGGATCATTAGGTTGGAAATTAGACTTTAAAAAGCTCATGAAGTGACTAAAAAAATCACTAATCTAACTCACTCCTTGAGTATATGTGAAGATAAAGCAAAGATAGCTGAATTTCTGTTTTCTAATAAATATTTCTAGCAAATAATAAATTAAGTGGCAAAGAAGAAACATGATAGAAACGGAAAGTTACACTGAAGAATTCTACTCCTATGTTTTAGGGAATACAAGGAAAAATTTTATTTAGATCCTTTATTAACAAAAATTCATAATGCTAACTGAATTTAATTTGAAGGCAGCCAGCTATTCAAATCTTATTGGTAGTTCTAGTAAACTTAATTCAGATCCTAAATTAAAGCTCTTAACATAATTATCTTTAAGTTAAATTAATCGTAATATATATATAAGAGTAAAAACAGCAGCCTAAAAATTTATAGATCTCTTAGAATGCTGGGAAGCTGGCCTGGAGGTATGGGTCAGCTAGGATGAGCCCCTGCTGTAATAGCCCTGGAGGCTTGGTCAGGCATTACAGTCCTTTCAGGCCCTTCACTAGAGGGCCTTCTTACTTCCCAAGATTTTTAAGTCTAAAAGGGAGAGTTACATGAATAAATTTTACAAGCTAGAAAGATTTATATAAATATATGGTGATACTATATCTTGTAACAATTCTGGCTAAAAATGAAACATATTAACTCCATAATCAGTATGACAGTACTTTTTATTTTATTAGACATAAAATTTGAAACTCAAAAAGTATGAATTCACTTTAAAAAGCAGTAAAAGACTGATAATATTCTACTCATATGTATTTTCAAATATTCTACATTAAAATTTAGTCTCTGAAACTGAATATATTACTGAGAACAAAAGGAAGAAAAATAATAGTATTTTCTCTCTATAGGAATTATACCTAGAAAATAATAAAATTGAAGAAATAACTGAAATTTGTTTCAATCATACCAAAAAGATAAATGTGATTGTACTACGTTACAATAAGATAGAAGAAAGTAGGATTGCTCCTTTAGCCTGGATAAATCAAGAGTAAGTATAAGTGACGATTTAACTTTCTTAGCATCCTTTCTCAAAACTGTGTTACTTTGTGAAGTTTCCAAACTGCTCATTATGTAACAGGATTTAGGATCACTACTACCTAATGGACACCCTGCCAATGTGCGCCAAGTGTTAAGCTAGCAAGATCTGAGATCTGACTGTAACTCAACTGATGGTCCAGCTCTGCCTACCTCACAAGCTGTCAACAGGCTTAACTAGAGTAATCCCCTGCACACAATGAAGAAGAAATGGGTTATCCTTTTTCCTAATCCTTATTAGGTAGAAGCACCAGGCTCCAAAGACTAGGCTTGTCCTCCAGTCCCACTCCACCTTCTTTTGTCCAAAATACATTAAAGAAGCTGCCTTGCTTCCGTAAAGGGGAGAGGTGAGGCTTGGGAATCAGAGGTGTGGTCTGGCAGCAAGTCCAACAGATGAGCCACAGGTCCTGAGTAAAGCACATCTTGGGATACGGGTTGTTAGAAGTATGATAGAGAGAGATGAAAGAAGTCTGAAGAGCCAACTGGAGGATTGTGGAGGCCCCTGTGAGGGTAAGAGTGTTTATCAGGTGAAAAGGGATAAGCAGATGCTCCAGAAGACTCAGGGGAAGTTCCTAAAAGAAAAGAGAGTTCACCACATTCCCCAGACCTTCCAGCACATTAATACTTCTAGATCACTGTCTCATTCCAAGTCCCAGGTGTGTCAGATCATCAAAACAAATGTGGAATGAAAATGCAGAGGAAAAGAAAACAAAATTAGCAAAAACCAAAAATTCCTTTACTCCCCACTTTACCCCAAGGATCTGAGATTTCTTCCCTGGACCCTGCTGTGCCCCTTTGTTGGATCTAGAGCTGGGAGGCAGGATGGATGTAAGAACATGAGCTTTGGAGCCAGATAGACCCAAGCTGGCAATAAATAAGTTTCTATTTAGAATCATCATTGCAAACTGGTACTTATAGAAATATAGACCAGCTGGCCTTATTAAGATTTAGAGCTGAGCTGAGTGCTGGTGGCTCATGCCTGTAATCTTAGCTACTCAAGAGGCTGAGATCTGAGGATCACAGTTCTAAGCCAGCCCAGGCAAGAAAGTCCATGAGAATCTTATCTCCACTATACCACTAGAAAACTGGAAGTGGCGCTGTGACTCAAATGGTAGAGTACTAGCCTTGAGCTGAAGGACTCAGGGACAGTGCCCAGGCCCAGAGTTCAAGCCCCCGATCAAAAAAAAAAAAAAAAAAGAAAGAAAAAAAAGAAAAGATTTAGAGCTTCTAGTGTTGTTTTCCTGAGGTCCCTACCCTGTTAACTTTTTCTTTGTTACAGAAACCTAGAATCCATTGACCTCTCCTACAACAAGCTATACCATGTCCCCTCCTACCTACCCAAGTCATTGCTGCACCTTGTACTCGTGGGGAACCAGATTGAACGGATCCCTGGCTATGTATTTGGCCATATGGAGCCAGGCCTAGAATACTTGTACCTGTCATTCAACAGACTTTCTGATGATGGTGTGGACCGAGTCTCATTCTACGGGGCCTATCATTCTCTGAGAGAGTTATTTCTGGATCACAATGATTTAAAATCTATACCACCTGGGATACAAGAAATGAAAGCACTACATTTTCTGAGGCTGAACAACAATAGGATTCGGTAAAATTTGGCTCTTTCAATAATGAATTTAAGTTGTGTTTGATTAAAAGTATGATTAAACAATGATGGCATGAACTCCAGGATTTAAGAAAAAAAGGACATGCTGGGTGCTAGTGGCTCACACCTGTAATCCTGAGGAGGCTAAGATCTGAGGATCACGGTTCAAAGCCAGCCCGGGCAAAAAATTCCCCACAAGACTCTTAGCTCCAATGAACCACTCAAAAACTAGACATGGTGCTGTAGCTCAAAGTGGTAGAGCAGTAGCCTTGAGTACAAAGAGGCTCAGGGACAGTGCCCAGGCCCTGAGTTCAAGCCCCACAACTGACAGAAAAAGAAAAAAAGCCACTAAGGAGTTGAGATTAAGTATTAATAACTTTAATAAGTATTAATAATTGCTGAGTGGGGTACATAAAAATTCAGGAACTTGGAGACAGGTTCAAATAATACTGCACATTGTTAACAGACTAAGTACTACTTTCACCTACATAAGTAATTTTAAATAAACTCATCTGCAGATCAGATGACTATTCTTTTTTTTTTTTTTTTTTGGGTCCAGTCGTGGGGCCTGAACTCGGGGCCTGGTGCTGTCCCTCAGCTCTTCAGCTCAAGGCTAGCACTCTACCACTGAGCCAACTTCCCAGCCCTTCTATCTAGATTTTTTTTTTTTTGGTTGGCCGTGGGGTTTGAACTCTGGGCCTGGGTGCTGTCCCTCAGCTCTTCAGCGCAAGGCGAGCATTCTACCACTTGAGCTACAGCGCTACTTCCGGTTTTCTGGTGGTTTATTGGAGATAGGAGTCTCACGGTCTCTCCTGCCTGGGCTGTCTTTGAACCGCGATCCTCAGATCTCAGCCTCCTGAGTAGCTAGGATTACAGGCGTGAGCCACCAGCCACCGACCTCTATCTAGATTTTTATGGAAGCAAAATTTTGAATATATTGAATTACTATTATCATTTGAGCGGGGCATATTTTTATGTATATGTTTGTTCTGTTCTTCCTACACAGCATGAATTACTGGAAGATTAACCTGAGGCACTTTATAAGTGCAATTTAAACCTTCAGCTAGCTCACAAACAGCTTGTTTGTTTAGATAGGTGTCTTAGCATTTTCCCAGGGGCTAGCCTCAAACCAGTCTTCCTGATCTCTCCTGAGCAGATAGGATTACAGACACAAACCATCATACTTGGTCTTTCTGGTTTTCAAATCACAAGGTTTTCCCCATTTGCAGGTTGTAACCATGTGCTTGAGTGCATTTATAGTTTCTATTTTCACATTTACATCTTTGATATTGGAATTTGTTCTAGCATTGTTCATGCTGAGCTACACCAGGGGAAGCCAGAACAAAATGTTCTTTATAATTGGTCTGACTTTCGCTGTTAGCTGATTATTTCCTGAAATCCTTTAAAAACTTTTAGGTTATGGTTTAAGACCAAGGATATAAGAAGACTATTCAATTATTTTAACAGTAAAAGCATATTTTAAAACGTATTTAGCCAAGTACCAGTGGCTCATGCCTGCAATCCTAGCTACTCAGGAGGCTGAAATCTGATCATCAATGTTTGAAGTTGATCCTGGCAGCAAAGCCTGTGAAACTCTTATCTCCAATTAACTGGAAGTGGAGCTGTGTTTCAAATGCTATAGAGTTCCCAGCCTTGAGCACATAGTACCCAGGCACTGAATTCAAGTCCCAGTACCAGAACCAAAAACAAAATAAAACAAAAAGTGAAAAGTAAACTGAACTCTTAAATCTTAAAAAGTAACTTCTTTCTTGGATCATTAGTGACTTTCATGTCTATTTTTCTTCAGGCATATTCTTCCAGAACAAATTTGCAATATTGAAGAGGATGAGGATTCAACTCTGGAACATCTTCATCTTGAAAACAATTATATCAAAACTAGAGAAATATCATCCTATGCATTTTTATGTATAAGATCATATTCAAGTATTGTTCTTAGACCACAAAACATCAAGTAATACAAAATTTTCTTTTGCCATTTATAAATTTTGCTCATATATTTTAGTAGCATGTCACTAATAAGAGACATAATAGGGCTTGGAATGTGTGGTAGAGTGCTGGCCTAGCATGCATGAAGCCCTTGGTTCGATTCCTCAGTCAGTATCATATACACAGAAAAAGCTGGAAGTGGTGCTATGGCTCAAGTGGTAGAGTGCTAGCCTTCAGCAAAAGAAGCTCAGGGATAGTGCCCAGGCCCTGAGTTCAAGCCGCAGGAGTGGTGAGAGAGAGAGAGAGGAAAGAAAAAGAAGAGAGAGAGGAGAACGAGGAGAGAGGGGAGGGAGAGGGAGACACAGAGGGAGAAGGAGACAGAGAGGGAGAAAGAGAGAGAGAGGGAGAGAATCTTCATTTTATCCTCAATGTTATGGTGCAAGTCAAGTTGCTTTGCAGTGTTAATCCACAGATGAATAAATGAAAATTCACAGAAAAGGTGTAGTCTTTTAGGAGTTTCAGTGAAGGTGTAAAATCCCCCATTTCCCATTATTATCCTGAGACAGACCAGAAGAAATTTGAACAAAACAAATTCAACCTTACTCTTGCTATTAGCTGATTTAAAAATTTTTATATGTGATGATAGGAAGACCAAAGGACTTTCTGACAGGAAAAAGACCAGGTAGAATTTACTGCGCTGTTATAGTTTATTATTTTCTACAAAACCTTGTATTGTAATTACTGTTATAAATATGCCACCATATTGAGTTAGCTTTAGTTCCTTCTCTAAACTACATATGGGGAGTTAAATCAGTATTATAATGTTAACTTGTTAGTTTAAATCACAGCACTGTGAGCTATGTACATTGTTAACATTAAGTGAAACTAGCAGGAGATACAAAAATTCTGTACTATTTTTGAAACTTCTAGAAGTTCAATCTTTTAATGTTAAAAAAATATTTTAAGCTGGGCATAATGCCTGCCTCATCCTCTAATTCTAGCTTGTAAGATAATCCACAAATGAATAAATGAAAATTCACAAAAAAAGGTGCAGTCTACTTGGGAAGATGAGATTGAGAGGATCCATGTTTGAGGCTAAACCCAAACTTGTGCTAGCAGTACATTCTAGGATTAAGCAAAATTGGTTCCCTTGAATCGATAGATTTAGATAGAGGTCTGAGCTGGGCCCAGAGGCAGAATAAGTTGAGGAGACAACACAAAGTAAGCATGACTTAAGTGTGTTCTGACCACTGGAGGAATAAGAAGGGAAGGCTTGCTATACAAGGAAGAGACTAGCTTCATTAGATGCAAAGTACAGTATGCCATTAGAATGCTCTGAGAAGAGAATATATCATAAAAACAATGATGTAAGGACATGAAAGCCATTCACTATAAAAATCCAGAAAGAGAGCCGCCGCCAGTGGCTCACACCTGTAAGCCTAGCTACTTAGGAGGCTGAGATATGAGGATCACGGTTCAAAGCCAGCCTGGGCAGAAAAGTCCGTGAGACTCTTATCTCCAATAAACCACTAGAAAACTGGAAGTGGTGCTGTGGCTTAAGCGGTAGAGTGCTCGCCTTGAGCTGAAGAGCGCAGGGATAGTGCCCAAGCCCAGAGTTCAAGCCCCACAACAGACCAAAAAAAAAAAAATCCAGAAAGAGTAGTATCTAAGTGGGAACTCATATAGTGTGGATGAAAAGGAGACACCAAAAGGAATTTAGTGAGTAGTCATCTGAACAGATAAGATATACAAAGATGTGACCAGTGAGTGCAACTTCTCTAGTTTACATGAGGCTGCTAATAAGTTGATCAGAAGAGCTAGTGCTAAGTTGGGGTGCTAGTGGCTCACACCTGAGGACTGTGGTTTGAAGCTACCCCAGGCATGAAAGCCTGTAAGACTCTTATCTCCAATTAACTACCAAAAAAGCTGGAAATAGAGCTCAAGTGGTGGAGCACTATCCTTGAGCAATAATGCTCAGGCACAGCACCTAGGCCCTGAGTTCAAACCCCAGGACTGTTACCAAAAATAAAAAAAATAAAGGTAGTGTTGAACTACCTTTCTTACCTGGTTAGAAAACAGATGACAGAAAAATAGGAGGACACAGGCTTGGAAACAATCACACAGGGTGAGGACATGTGCCTGCAGGGGTTTGTGAATAAAAGGGCACTGACCATCATTTCAAAAGGGCAAAGCTAAAGTCACCATAGCCTCTGACTTCCCAGAACCAGCACCTAGTCATAGGAGGAACTGCACCTAGAGTCTACATCCTCAAAAGCCTTCTAGGCATTTGATGTCGGTGCCACCACTCCAGGACAGTCTGAGTTTATAGATTTAACTGGATACCTGCTATTACTACTTTGTTGCATATGTCGCTTTTGCACAATAACTGGGTAGAGATGAGTGTTTTTTCTCAAGAAAAGATCATAAAAATTTGGAGAAACCGGAATTCCTTTCTTGGACCCTTGCATTCTATGTAAAATAAGTGCTAAACTGGCTGCTGAATAAAGAGTTTGTCCCTTTGGTCCACAATGCAAACTATGCTCATCTGTTGTTCAAAACTAATATGAACTAATAAAAAGCCAGGAATGAATTTGCAAATTTTAAGGGTTTTCAAAAGAAAAATAAGAAACCTAATGGAAAAAGATTTACACAGGTCATAAAATTAGAAATAATTTCTCTGACGGACATTGGAAACCAAAGAGTTTATGTTTTAAACAATTAAGTCATGCTTTGACAACTGGTAGTACTTAGTAATCAATCTGGTTGTTCTGTATAATAGCAACATTGACTCTATCCTTCCAAGGCCATCATTTAAATATACCATGAATTACTATGTCCCAAAATTCTATGTTATTGGAATACTCAAATTCTGCTGTTTAAGTGAAATGGCAAAGGATGGGATAAAACCCTGTATGAAATCAACTCCACTCCTCCTCTTAATTAGAGAAAGAATGGAAAGTTTCCTCATGGAAGTATTTACAAAATAGGAAATAAAAAAACTACTTTTTCTTCTTAGTTGAATACCAACTCAGCTCATTCATCAATTCAAAATTCAAAATATTGAAAGTGCTCATTACCAGAAGTTCACAGCCAGTTCTTTTTTGTTGTTGTTATAGCCAGTTCTAACACCAGAAGATTGCCAGGGACCCTTGAATCTCAAATGTTTGTGAAATGTAGAGATTCATGTCTTGTAGTTTAAAATAAAAATGATTAGCCAGGCACCGGTGGCTCATGCCTGTAATCCTCGCTACCCAGAAGGTTGAGAACTGAGGATCAATGTTCAAAGCCAGCCTGGGCAGGAACATCTGTGAGACTGTTATCTCTAATTAATAACCAGAAAACCAGAAGTGGCACTGTGGCTCAAGTGCTAGAGCGCTTACCTTGAGCTGAAGAGCTGAGGGACAGCACCCAGGTCCCAAGTTCAAGACCCATGACCGATCAAAAAAAAAAAAAGATTAGCATGACTCTGAATTGGAATTGGTATTGGCAAGGAAGGGTCCTTCACAAATATTGTGGGCTCTGAGTTCCAGTTACCTCATGCACAAAATTGGAAAACATGTATTGTCTATGGGTGATGGAAGACGAAATGAGGTAGTGCTGAGAAAGTGCCAGGCATAGGACAGATACTAAATGAATGGCTATCAGTGTCTGCATTCAGAAAACTAGCACTCAGGGAGGTTAAGATTTCAGGCCTTTTAAGTTGGTGGTAATACTTAAGGCTCCTTAGACTGGTATGAAGCATAGTGGAGAAAGGAGTGGTCCAGTTCCACCAGGACCTGCTCTGTAGAGGGCCATAGAGTTAAAAGCCTTAGGCTTTGCAACCGGCACAGATACAATAGAGACCCTGTGGCCATGCTAGTGGCTTAGTGAACCATGACCCTCCAGAGGAGAAGATGGATTACAACAAAACTCAAGTCTGATCAACCACATTTCTAAAGGTGTCAGGATGCATGTTCATGTCCATGGCAAAACAAAATGAAACCTCTGTGCAGATCAGCCCTGCGTAGGATCCAGGATGAGTGAGCCCAGTGGGTAAGAAAGCTGGAAGAGTCTAAACTACTTCTCATTATAGGTTAAAAAATACTAATGATAGGAAATAAAATTGTTTGACCGGTAAGTTATGACTTACTGTGATTACCTGTAATACCTAAAAAGGGGAAAAACAGTATATTACTTAAAACAGCTAGCCAAAGTGGAAAAACATTTGATCAATAAGCCTGTCCAGTGCATGGATTTCTGAGTGTCTCCAACAGGCCAGTCTGCACTGACTAGTCTAGGCCTTCCTAACCTTGGATACAGCATCAAACTTTGTGTACAGGATTCCCCGAGCAAGTTTGTCCCCTCCCTCCCTCCCTCCCTCCCTTCCTTCCTTCCTTTTGCTTGAACTCAGGGCCTGGCACTGTCCCAGGGCTTCTTTTGCTCAAGGCTAGCACTCTACCACTTGAGCCACAGAGTCACTTCCGGCTTTCTCTGTTTACGTAGTACTAAGGAATCAAACCCAGGGCTTTATGCATGCTAAGCAAGCACTCTACCACTAAGCCACATTCTCAGCCCAGTTTGTCCCTTTTCTATTTCATTTTCAGGCTTTATGCTTATCAACTCCACTTGAGTCTAACCCAACAGAAGCACAGGCATTTGTAAAAGATTTATACTACAAACTGTGTAGGTCTGTGTAATGCATGTTTCATTCTACATGTTTTTTGTTTTGTTTTTGTTAGTTGTGGGGCCTGAATTCTGGGCCTGGGCGCTGTCTCTTGGCTCTTCAGCTCAAGGTTAGAGCTCTACCACTTGAGCCATAGCACCACTTCCAGCTTTTTCTGCTAATCTGGTGCTGTGGAATCAAACCCAGGGCCTCATGCACGCAAGGCAAGCGCTCTACCACTGAGACACTTTCCCAGCCCTATGATTCTACATGTTTTAAGGAAAACTTTTGCATATTACTCACATGCCTTTGCTTCCATATGCTGTACAGAAACATTTACAATGGTAAGCACTGCTGGAATTGAATCTGTCACATGCTGTTACTCTGTTAGTAAGTAGATCTTGGAGAAT